AAATAGAGACAAAGGCAAAAATTGTTTCCTCAAAATTACACTTGTATTCCTGATTTTTCAAGTCAGAGTACAATTATAATTCTACAATTCAGAGCCTCCTAGTTTCTAATCCTATAAACCTCTTTCAAAATTATGTTAACACTACCAAATATCCATTTTCCATAACAGCTTTGAACACTACATTATTTGAAAATTCCACACCAGGTGTCAAGCTGACCATTCAAATGGCTGATAAATAATTCACAGACCCATCAAACATCTGAATCTAAATGACTTCAAATCAAGTTTGTGACTGGCAATGCTAAAGTCAATGGCCTCAATCACAAAATAATTCTTTCCTAATTATAAGATGTTCAAACAGGCTGTTAAATCAGCCTCATTTATATCCTGAACTTCAACATAGTGTAAAAGCTTGAACTTAAGCTGAATGGCAAAATGAAAACTTCTTAACTCTGCCCCTCTGTTCTGTGCAGTAATCCTATCCCTAAATTTCACTCCCTGCTGTGGAGTGGGATTAGGCCAGGTTTAACAGATACCATCCTGGCATGACTATAAACAAAGTTAAGAAATTCCATCCAAAACACAACCATCTCTAGTTAATGCCTTTGTATTATTGTTCAGATTTTGGAAACTTTTACTGGTGCAAAAACAACTACATCAGAACCATCAAGAGTGACTAAAAACTCTTCAGAATACTGAACAGGCAACACATCATTAAGTGATAACTTTACATACAAAAAGGAACATAGATTAAGGCCTCACCTTGCTCTATGCTATTTAAAATACCACCACCCCTTCAAACCCCACAAAAATAAGGAGCAAATTTAGGCTGACATTACTGAAGGCACATGAAGTTATGTTTGCTGCTGTAATTCATTAGCTAAATTTTTGCTTCTCCCACAAAACAAGTTAAAAGCTAGAATATTGTATTCCAGTGTAACATATTATTTATCTGCCACTTAAATCCTCATCTGAGTTGATGCTGCTGGTTCTGCATCTCAGAGCTTTCAATATCAATTTTTAGAGAATGATTTATACTATAAAAACATACCTGTATTAATTTTAGACTTCCTTCAGTCAAGTATTGCATCAACAATTCTGAAGATTTTACTTCATTCTCACCAACTGAGCCATGAGTTTTTGAAAGCTCCCAGGAGCTGAGGCACCTATGGTTTGAGGTTAGCCTGCGGCAATCACTCTCAAGAGAAAGCCTTACACTGTTGCAAAGTGTAAGAATTGTGCTACTTGAGAAATTACAAGAATTGTCACCTATGTCATGTAATGGTTTGGGTCCCCAGTGGTCAAGCATAAAGGAATTGGCATAGTTGCACAAACATAGGATCCAGGAATCACAGTCTTACATGTACAAAAAACGACTTTATTTTTTATTTTTTTCTTTCTTTCAAGACTGCCGCAGGAGCTTTACGTTTCGGGAGAAAGCTCCAGGCACCTGAGGTGGATCTATCGGCAGGTCAAACGCGGCACTACAGCTTCCGCTGCTTATGGCGGGGGTTGGTCTTGCAGCACACGTAGAGTCGGCCCCGCCGGCGCACGATGAAGCAGTCCTTGCAGCGCTTCTTCAGCGTCGTCTTCGTCTTCAGGCCCGCCAGAGGCAGCACCGCGGGCGGC